GTATTGTTCTGATGCTTTCTTTCGTCCACAGGGAGCCAAGTAGGATGCCATGTTAACACAGCTTGATTGCTTCTGGTATTCAGATGAGTTTGTCTTTCTGGGCATTGCGTTGTGCTTTGTGAAAGCACTACCTTTTGCAGTACAAAAACACAAAGGGTGTAGAAGGAGAGGGAATAGGAAAAGAGTGATCTGAGCTGATCTCTGTAATGTTATAGAGTATGTCTGTGGCGGAACAAAAATGTTGAATGTAGGAATGAACAAATCAATAGCAAGATTGCTGTTTAACCTCTATAACAAAGTCCATCAGCTCAGGATTCCTCACCAGTCTTTCAGATGACCTGCAACACTTTGTTTGCTAAAGTGCACTTGGCAGTTTGTGTGGAGGTGGACACAGGTGACCTGGCCAGCCTGGTGATGTTACTCCCTGCTGTGGAGTGCAATGTCCCCCCTTTCTTCCAGGAACTTTGTAAGAACACCGGTGTTACACCTGCTAAAGCTGAGCATGATCACATTACAGGTGAGATATGGACTGGAGGGAAATACAATACAAACAAGGGTCTGTTTACACTACTTACTTAACTTTAAAAGGACCAAGTACCCTTTCCTTAGTCCTTTAATTGTTTAATCTTTCAGACTGAAGTCTGAGCAATTATTGTGAACTTCTATGTACATTTGACTTCTGCTTTAAACCTGGAGAAGAACTGGTGTGCTTGGAAGCTTGTTTAGATTTTCCAACAGTTCTGATTATTCTAGTGGAAGATATGCTCTTGGTCTACAAAACTCACCTTGCTTGCTGCTGCTATGTGTCATTATGTAAATGCTAAATGTGTTTACTATTCTTAATTGTCCAGTCACTGGAATACAAATATTTTAATAGCTGAAATGATGTTTCCAGGAAAGGGTTATGCATTATTTGTTAGACTATAAGGTCCCTGAATCAGTGACTGTGCCTCTGGTTGTGTTCGTTTAGTGGACAGCATAAAGAAGATTCATCCTGCACAGGATCACTTGTTATTCTTGTGTTGGCAGCAATCATAGAATCATAGAATGGTTTGGGTTGGAAGGGACCTTTAAAGGTCATCTAGTTCAACCCCCCTGCAATGAGCAGGGACAATCATAGCAAAGCTACTAACCAAAGGTGGTGCCAGAGGGTCTTGTACTAAGCTCTTATACTAAGATGCTCCTTTTATCTAAGAAAAGAACTATGATCTTTCAGATACATGGATGAAAGGAATTGAATTGAATTCACAGTTCACATTATTCAGATGTGGGTTTCAATCTTTGTTACTAAGGAGTAGTTTGCAAAATATTCTGTGATTTCCCTGTTCCTTTGCTTACAAAGCTTCTTGCAAACTCTTCAATATTGTCAGCATTGTGGGAGGTGTCCCTAACTGAGGACAAATCAGTCCTAACACTTCTGACCAGACTGGTGCCAACCTCCCTCGTCAACTCACTGTGGTTCACAACCTGAGTGTTCCCTGAAAATAAGATCCAGTACGCATAACAAGAAACACATGCCAAAGAGATCTATACAAAGCACAACTACTTAAAAGAAGTATCCCAGCTTTTGCTCAAGAGCTCCATGGTTTAAGCATATAGCAGAGTTTGACGTTCTGCTTTTGCCACCACTCTTACGTCCTGAGAGCATCCTTATAACATACAGCTCTGTTAGGACAAGCACCTCTTCACTTCTGTCTGTAGAATTGAATTGTCTATACTTTATGTTGAAAATTGAATAATATGTTGAAAACAATATTGTGGCCTAGAGCATACAGCTTGTGCAGTTTGAAATGGGAATGCAAAGTCTAAATTTTCTGAAGGAACAAGAAACATCTTTCTCACTCATTGCCAGGAGAATTTTGGGCAACCACTTGAGATTTTATGTGAACTGGTGCATTCCGTTGGCCAAAAATTACTTTTCTTTTGGAGTGTTATAATCCCTGTGGGTGAGCTGGGGCCAGGACTGAAGTCATAGACATGATCAACTGAATCAAAAGGAGGAAAACTATACACAGTGTCGTTTTGACCTTTGGTGGAATTTTAGCAATTTATTATCATTGCCCTCTGGATTTCACTCAGCATTCACTAAGAAAACCTATCAGAATATGTTCCTTTTGGGCCAAAGAGAGTCAAGTATGGGTTTCAACTTAGTACTTTTAGTAAAATAAAAAAGCTGTATAAAAAGAGAAGATTATATTCGTCCCTGTTTCCATCCATATTGTCATGCCTTTGTTTTCATTGTTCCCATTCAAATTTTTAGTCTTGGGCCCTATATCCTCATTGGAACTATTAGAACTCATAAAAAGCCATGATGTTTTTTAGATGTCTGATGCTATGGTTTTCATCACCTCAACCCTCAAAGGTTTATTCAGCTTCATTTTCATAATCACACAGCACTGTGTGAAAATGCTTTTTCTTCTGCAGGTTGGTCTGGGAAATTCATTTACTGACAGGATCTGAATTGCTGTTGAAATGTCATGTGACTTCCTCATGCTCTCAGATGTGGATTTCAATTCCTGACTTTGCTGCCAGAACCTGGCAGCTGATTTTTATGGTGCAGTGTTCCTTTGTTATATCCCTATGAAGTTGTAACAGACAGATGATGAATATGCTTTAGAAATGGCCTTTTGCTTAAAGGAAAAAAAAGACAGTGCTGTGCACAAACTTGTTAGGATTGTTGTGTACATGGACTATGGCATAGCAGGGCATGGGATATGTTTTACAAAAGGCAGGGAGAAAATGAGGGCTATTCTGTAACAGCATGAATTGTTGGTACTGCAAGCTAAGAAGAAATCACCTTCCGGATGCTGGTGCAGACTTGCTTTATGGAAATGCGTCAGGATGCCTGGCAGAGCCACATGATTAAGTTGCATGGGTAGATTGCACTGAGGTTGCACGACAGGTTGATGTCCACTAGTAAGATCATGGAAATAAAGAAGGATGGCTTCTAATACAGATCCTTGCTGATAGATCCTTGGTCCTTCTAATACAGATCCTTGCTGAACCCCACAAGCATTCCATGGCTCTGCTTTCAGTATCACAAGCGAAAATGTTTCCCTGTTTGGGTTCTTCTACATATTTATGGTATGTGTCATGTTATTCTCACACTAATCCATCTGGTCAGGCAAGATTTACTCTTATTTGATATTTGATAATTATGATTGCTATCTGCTGGGGCTTTGATTATGTATCCCCTTATTTTTGTTCTATCCTTTTCCTCTCAGTAATATGTGTATTTTTAAAAGTCCCACCCCCTACGTTATGCAAGATACATGTTCTGCATTCTCAATGTACCCCAAGCTATAAAAAAGAGAGCAGATCACCTCGAATGTCCCACATGAGGCTAATCCAGGGACCTAAACATTGATGGGAAATACTGTTCCATTCTTCGTTCAGTTCTTCCCTCTATGTCCACCTGCTTCTAGATAGGCTGTGTGGAGAAGTGAGCATAGCAGGAGATTGAGGACAGTAAATTTCTTTACAGTATTAACTGTGAAACACTGTGGTGACTACATAATGAGTAAAATTTAACCCGGCTGTCAGGGCAATATAGGACCTTTGTTTCTGCATCCAAGAAATGGAGGTACTGATGCTGATATTGTTATTAGCTCCTTTCTCGTATAGCTAAAATAATTACAATTTATCACACGTTAAGCAGTGGCATCTCAGTTCTCTGATAAAGGTAATTAGCTTCCATTTACATGTAATAAGTCTGCTAACTGTATTTTGCATATCCACCTTTATGGTAACATAAAGGTCAACCTTAGTGGTGACATCAAAAGATTAATGTCTATATTTCCAGGAAAAGTCCTCTAATTTTGGCTGCTAACTTTGATAAAGCTTGAGCCTGAATTTCTGAGGTACTGAGAGCTCAGATGTGGAAGAAATCAGAAAAACGCAGCACCTGAGAAAATCAGAGCCAGAATGTTTCAAGCTGAGCCACAAATGAACGGGGAAGTAAAATTAAAAACCCTCTCCAGTAAGCCTAGCTCTGGGGAAGTCTGAATTTGCTCCTTCTCTTCTTTACTTCCTTATGCTTATTTCTGGATCTCCTTCACCAGTTTTTCAGATTATACTATATGTTAGCATGCTTTATTCAAGGTAATTCTTCCTTCTTATCTATTATCTCATTAGTTTTAAATGTTGTCCCTGGTTTTTGGTTTTTTTGCTTTTTAGTTATGTTGATCTGTACACAAAAGTACGAACAATAATTTGCTTGTTACTGGAACAGGAAGATACTCACTCTAAAACTGGACTTTCTCCTTTTGCATTATTTCAGGGCTGTTGGTTTACTGTCAACAATACAAGGTACTTTGTACATGTCAGGCACTACCACGTGCAAAGTGAAAGAATTAGCAGTACTAAGTCTTAAAATCTAATCCATTCTGAAGCCAACTTTAATTTACACACCCCCAAGATTTCCAACACCTCACACGGAGTTGCAGGTGTCTGCTGGTCTTGAGGTTAAAGAACTCAGACGATAAGTATCCTCAAAAAAGTATGCACAGTAGAGTTGAAACAAAATCAGGGTTAGCAATCTTGTAAACTAGATAGGTGTTAGTGCAAGGAGTTAAAAAAGTCTGCTTATGCATGTTTATGAAGCTCTTCCGCATGTGAGAAGCCAATTGTAATTGATTTTTATTATTCATGGGTAGAGTTTCAATGTGAAGTTGTTGTAAAAGCACTGCCCTGTCAGACTATTTAAGACTGCCTGCAAGCTACAGACCTTGAAAGCCTCACGAGTGAAGTTGTGGAAATGTTTTCTTTCCCTTCATTGCCACAGGTCAGTGGTTCATATTCCATGTGTGTGCACGGGTTGTTTTAATCAGGATTTTCCTTGTTTCTAGTGGTAGTCTAGCATCTGGTTTTGTTTTTGCTCTTTTTTAGCTGTGATGGCCTTTGAAGGCTAGCATGGCTCTAATCCATTTCAGTCAGCAGGAGAAGGTAGTTGTTGCAAGTTCTGATGCAATCCTAGTTTTGTTTCAGATCCACCTGAGAAAATGTTCCAGATCCTCGCAATGCTGTTGCTGGAAACACAGGTCTATGTGGCTTCAGGTGAGAGAGAAACTGCCTTTCAATTCCACCAGCAGAACCAACGCAGCAAATACCGCTACACCCTCAGTACATGGGCTTCAGCACCTCCAGTGATACTTGCATGAACAGCCAGTGATGTCTGGAGGCTCTGCTTCGCAGCGTCTTACAGGAGGCACTGTGTACTAATTGAGTACAGGACAGATGTCCGTCACTTTCCACAGTTGCGGTTCTTTAAAGCATAGCGAATTGGCAGCTGAGGTGTCCAGCAGGCATGGCTATGAGAGGGAGGATGCCCAAAGCAACCTAAGCCAATTGTAAATTAATCAACTTCAGCGTGAGGCAGAGTGAAATAAAACCATGTGTATTCCCCTGTCCATGCCTGTAGCAGGAGTAGTTTGGCTAAAACCCAGAAGGGGCTTGGCACTGCTTCATATTATTTTTTCCCTCATTACAGTTGTATTAAAGTAAATAAACAAACATTGCTAAGAGGAATTGAAGCTTTCCCTGTAAGTATTTCACAAACACACGAAATAAAGGAAATGCATAAACAGCTGCATGAACTTCTCTTTTTAATGTCACTATCAAGATTTCCAAGTGCTTCTGAATTAAATCTGCCAATGTATGGTACATCCAATATAGAAAGTAGTAACAAGGTATATTGAATGATGTATCATAAATAACTCTCCTTTATCAAGACACTTTTAAATGGTAAAAAATTCATAACAACATGAATTTCAGATTTGGTGAATGGCTAAGATTATTTTTATATACTTTCTGTAATATTGTTGCATATATCAGAGAAGACACATGGGATCAAATGATACTCACATGGTCCCAGGCTTGTGGAAGACTGTAATTGCAACATAGCTATTCTTCCAAGTCACACAAGCTTATCCAGTGCAACTCTATTTGTTTCACAGGAGTTACACTGGATTTTCTCTTTGTAAAGGATAATGAGATTAGATTTACTATTTCCACAATTAACTGTTGCTTTTACTAGAATCCTACGACATATAAGATACAATCATAGTTTCATAGAAGTGCTCCCTGTGTAATCACTGACTCAGCCTTAAGTTATTTCTAAAATATGAAAAAAACCCTTGCTCGTTTTGTCCTTGTCTTTCAGACTCTGTAATCAATATAGAATATAGACAATTTGCTATAAATACTACTGACATGGTAAAAATGTTAGTGTGAATAGGGACAAAAAATGCTTAAAACTTTTAGTCAAACCAGTAACCATATGCCTGACTACATGACACCTTTTTGACCAAGTTTAAAGAAAATCAGAACATAACTTAATACAACAAATGAAACTGTTTTCTTTTCCTGCAGTAGCTTTATTTACAGTTGAAGTTCCTCAACAGCTATACGTTGTGGAGTATGGGAGCAACGTGACCATGGAATGCAGATTTCCTGTGAACGGCTCGTTAAACCTAGGACTCCTGACAGTTGTTTGGGAGCAAAAAAGGCAGGGCCAGTCGAAATCCAAAGAGGTGTACACACTCCGCAATGGGAAGGCATTCCCTCCATCCCAACATCACGATTACATAGGAAGAGCAGCACTTTTGCACAGTGAACTGAAATTGGGACGAGCTATCCTCCAGATCACCAGCGTGAAGATCACAGATGCAGGATCATACCTTTGTCTCATTGACTACCAGGGCGCGGACTACAAGTACATTACTTTGGAAGTAAAAGGTTAGTGGCTGAATTGAATGTAAGTATATATTCATTGAGATGTCTCTATTAAATTCCTACAAGCTTGTAGAACTTGATTAATTTGGAGGAATTTGTTGCTAATTCCTCACCAAACCCTGTGCTTAGCCCCCAGGTGAACCAAAGCAGTTGTCTTAGTGCTGGCTAGTCTTTGGTTCGACGGCCAGCTGAGCTTCTCTAGGAGCAGCATGTGCTAGAGAGGGAGAGCAACTGCTCCCCCTCCGTCCTTCATCCTTCCTCCTTCTTCCCACGCCCTCTTCTCCAGTGCCCCAACCCCCACCTCTCATTTGACCCCCTGCCCTGTTGGGCCACCTCTGGCCCAAAAGTTGCTCGGAGGTGCTTTAGTTTACTTACGAGCCCTGCTGCGACTACCCAAGTGGCTGGGAATTCCCCGACTGACTGCAGCTCCCAGAGCAAGGACATGTGATCTTCTGTGTTCGTCAAAGCCAAATGGACATTATTAATAAAGGCATACGTTACTGGATAGCATGGTAGACCAGTCCTTTGAAAGGCCTCTGGTGTTTCCCACTAACTGCAGTAAGTCTGTGTGATACAAGGCAGCATTCATTTCCCACCCAGGCATTTAAATAACAAGTTTTGTCAAACACAAAAATGGATACAGCCGTTTTTAAGACCCACATTGGTTCCTCTGAGCTGTCCTCACAGAAATTCTAAGTTCATTTTGTTCTAATATGATGAAAACATCACACTTGTTCATAAGCTATGGTAAAACAAACATTAAAAACAGCCTTTTCCTTGAAGTGGCATATTCAAAAAGTGAAAATAGAGTCACATGAGACTTCACTTGTTTCCTCTGTATTGATAAATTATAAATTCAGTGTCAACTGCTGCCTTGTATTAAGTAGTGGAGTAAGTTCCGTCACTGTAGGCGTGAGAAGGATTGAATGACGAATATTGACTAGTTCTGCAAAACATCCTTCATCATCTCAAGTAAGTGTACCTCAGGTACAGCCACAGACAAAAT